GACAGTTCTACTGTGTCCTAGAGGGTCAGTGTAAATTGGAATCAACTCAGTGGCAGTGGGTTTTGTTTTGCTTTGTATTCTATTATCTCTGAGTGGTAGGATTATGGGTATTTTTAAGTTATTCTTTTGGTGTGTTACTATTCTAATTTTTCTACAGTGACCATGTATTGCTGTTGCTGCTGCTTCTTGTTCTTCCCCTTTGCTTTTTTTGTTTTGTATTTGAAATAATTATGTATTCACAAGAAGTTGCAAAATAGTTTTACAGCCATTCACTCAGCCATTCCCAGTGATAACATCTTGTATAACTGTAACACAGTTATCAAAACCAGGAAATTGACATTCATGTAATCCACAGAGTTTATTCACATTTCACCAGTTTTACATGCACTCACACATGTGGGTAATTCTATGCAGTGTTATCATATGTGTAGCTTCTTGTAACTTCCCACCACAATCAAAATACATTATCTGTTTCTGTTGCTGTTTTAGTATTTTTAAAAGTTATTTTTAATTAAAAAAATTTTAAGTAATGCTCCAGGGGTCATTTCCTGTATTATATTAGGAACATAATTTAGGGAGCAGGCTAGTTGCTGATGAGAATAAAGAGCTACATTCTCTCATTTCCTCTCCACAGATTCCCGATGGGAAAGGGCCACTGAGGTGACTGTGGCTCGGCAAAGGCAGCTAGAGGAATCCGCAAGCCATCTGGCCTGCTTCCAGGCCGCAGAATCCCAGCTCCGGCCCTGGCTGATGGAGAAAGAACTGATGATGGGAGTGCTAGGACCCCTGTCTATTGACCCCAATATGCTGAATGCACAAAAGCAGCAGGTCCAGGTGAGCAATGTAGCTTAATGCTGTAGAGCAAAGAAATTGAACTGACGTGAGCCTGGGTTCAAATGCTGCTCCCTGCAAATAGATCTCATGACCTTGGACAAATCATTTAACCTCTCAAGACTCTCATACTTCTCCCTTTAAATGAGATGTTTATAGCATGCTTACCACAGTGCTTGTCAATAGTAAACAGTCAATAACTGCATTATTAATGTCATTAACAGAGATAATAAGAGGAGTGGATATGACAATGGGAAACTCTTTCTGATTATTCAATTTTCACTTTTAATCTCCAATGGTAATGATCTGTATTACTTAATACCTGATATCTCCTGCCTTTACCTAAAGATTTTCTGCTGATCAGACCTCAACAAAATTGATTGAGGTGCCCAACATCATAGAAATGTAGGATGGTGAAAATTGTCACAGTAGCCTAACATTACTCATTAGTTTATTTCCAATGAAATCCTACCTGGAACTTTTTCCTTAAGTATATTTAAAAGCTGTTATGTTGGGTATTGTTCCATGAAACTGATGTACATGTAATTTTTGCCAAAAAATCTGAGGAAAAATTGGCAGAGACACAAATGAGTAAAAGCTGTAATACAGGCAAGATAATACTTTATTATTAATTTTGTATATATGTACACAACAGATTAGTTAAAAGCAAAGGGTGTGTAGGACCTGCATCTTCCCCAAAACCTGTTCCATTTCTTAACCATCCTCCAGTTTTCCAACTCATAATATCCCTTAATTACTTTCAGTTAAGACCTGAGGGTAATTTTTGGAAACCTTCCTTTTCAGTCCTCAAACCAGATAACTCATAAGTTCTATTTAGTCTACTTTTCAAAATATTTTTCTAGGGGCTTCCAAATTTTTGGTCTAAAAACCCATTTATGTTCTTAACTATTGAGGGACTTCCAAAGACCTTGTGTTTATCTGTGGATATTGACCATATTAAAACATTGAGCTACTTTTAAAATATGTATTCATTAATTCAGGGAGCTCTGGTGGTGCAGTGTGTAAGGCATTTGACTGCTAACCAGAAGGTTGGTGGTTCAAACCCACCAACAGCTCTGCAGAAGGAAGATGGACCAATTACCTTCTGTAAAAGTTTACTACCTCAGAAACCCAATGGGGGGGGGGTCACTGTGAATCAGAATCAACTTGATATCAGTGAATTTGGTTTTTTATTTTTTCATTAATTCATGTAAAAATAGCAGCAGTAAAACCATCATGTTTAACCTAACATTTTTTATGAAAAAAGAAATCATAAAATTTTCTAAAACATGAAATATTTAATAAGAGTAGCATTGTTTTATATCTTTGCAAGTCTCTTTAATGTCTGGCATGATAGAAGATTCTCACGTCTGCTTCTGCATTCATTCTGTTGTGATACCAGGCATTGTGTAGCCTCTGGAAAACCTCATTGTGGACTCATGACAGAACAAGAATTTTAAAAGGCAAATAATATCTTAGTATTATTATGAAAATAGTTTTGACCTCCTGGACTCCCTGAAAGGATCTGGAAGTCCCAGAAGTCCCTGAACCATGCTTTGAGAATCACAATTCTAATTCTTTGCTCTTCCCCATTCTCTCTGCTACTTCCTTTTTGAGGCTTGATCCCTATCCTAGACCATTGCAACAGGCTTCTAACATTTCTTTTTGTCTACCTGCCACACAATTATCAAGTTATCTTATTGAATCACATATCTGAATATATTTAAATGTTTCAGTGGTTCTTGGCTGTCTATTAAATAAAGTCCAAATACCTGCTCAATGTAGTATATAAGACCTTTCATAATCAATGTGGTATACACAAGACCCAGTTGGTCTTACCAACATCATTCCATCTATTCCCCCATATACCCAGGTTTGTACACATACCAGATAATTTGTTCTTTCCTAAAACATAAGATGCTTGTATATCTCTGTTCCTTTGCTAATATGGCTCCTCCTAGAATGCTCCTCAGGAGCTCTGGTAGCATAGTGCCTAAGGCACTTGACTGCTAAACAGAAGGCTGGCGGTTCAAACCCACCAGCCACTCCTCAGAA